GCACCCGGGTTAGCCACGCCATCTCTGACGGGTCTCTCTACAAAACCGGTGACGATGTCATCACACAAAAAAACCAACACGGAAAGTCAGAAAAAAATTGACAACACAGATAAAAATGTTTGTCCGTGCGCCACGGGTCGATGTCGCCCGCATGCTCCGGTGCCATTGCTCCATCCGGCGCCGCTGTAGTCAGCCCGAGCAAAACGTCACTCGACCTGCTCCGTCCGTACACGCTCTCGTTGCTGTCCTTCCCAGTCCGTTCCCCGCTTTCTCCCTCATTGCGCTCAAGGTTCTTGGTCTGAAAAAANATCCCTTGAGGGTGAGTCTAGCCCTGCTCGCCAGAAAGACCCCCCCCTTCGCTACAACCCATGTCTAAGCAAAAGCTTGTCGAGGAGCGAGGGGAAGAAGGGAGAGTATGCCCGATATTAATGCCCAAATTGATTGTTGGTGGAGCAAAGTTGATGACTGTGTGTGACGTGCAGAGCGCGTACCACCAGATACCTGTTGCAGCAGCGGAGCAAGAAAGACCGCCTTTGTAACTCAAAAAGGAATATTAAGGACACAGGCTTCCCTCGTTGGGGGGAGGCCCGGGTCACAGTAGTCTTACCCACTATTACTAAGGGCTGGCAGTTCTCTTCGTTGATATTTAGAGGAGAGGGTCTCAGAAGAGAGAGATAAAAAAGAGAGTGCCGCCGATGGGCGAGGGGGACCAAGCCCGAGGGTCTCGGATTCCCAAGCTCCACAGGTGGCGCCAAGAGGGACGCATCCATTGTCGGGTCTCTTGCTGATCAGTAAGATCCTCCGTTCGGATCGTATCTTGGTCCTACTTTTGTATGTGCAACAACAATGGTTACAGCACTTCTACACCTGTAATGTTCGTGTGTCTGGGTACGAGCATGGTAGATCTGCTATTATCTATTATANCCATCGTTGCCAAGGATGTATTTTGGCGTTTCTAGAGGCCTTGGGTGATATATATGGAAACAGGTGTTGGAAGTATTGTCATACTGCTGTGTTGCAACATCTTTAACTGTGTCTGAGTCAGATTTTCCGTGTTGATTAAGCACGATTTCGTCAAACTCAGTTGAAGATGTGGTCTATAGTTAAAGTACAGATTATCATACTAAGAAAAATTGAAGATTCTTATATCCTGCATGATTCTGACAGAAGAAATTTTCCTCCGTCCAGATATATATATTCTAGGGTGGCCATACCCCGATTATGTTCACGAAGTTGAATAGCCATCGTTTCAGCTACAAAACAGTTTGAAACTGATACAGATGGCGCCCGCACTTAAGAACCTCGAATTTCGGCCGAGGCTGGGATTCTTATTTTGCTGATCATCCTCTTTTGGGCTACAAATGGCCTATATATAGGTTTTAGTGTGGGGTTCTTAACCGAGCTCACAAATTGTGCTCAAGTTCTTAGCTTCTGATTTTTTGCGAGTCTCAATTTCTTAACTGCTAAGTTCTAAAGTGCGGGCGCTATCTGTAGCTGAATATACCATGCCTGGGAAAAAAAACTCTTTGGCCACAAAAAAACAGTAATGCAGAGCAACGGCAGATAAAATTGTGAGCGCTCTAAATAGCTATATCTGGCATTGTTGCTCAATTCCTCGCCTCAGTACGTCTTCGCTTCCTAGTTCGGCAGGGTGATGCTTCGTCCCCCTGCTTGTTAAGGGTGCGAACCGAGGTTGCTTTAGGAGGCACGATATCCAAACCACAACGGATTCGGTATGCAGCTATATCGTGCGGTGTACCATGTTTTTTCTCCCCGCCCGACGTGGTGCTCTAGTCTATACCGCCTCCTCCGCAAACCTAGCAAGCGCAGGGCGGCGTTGGTCAGCTGCTTGTTTTCCGGGGTGTTCGGCCGGCGTTCTCGCGCTCTGTCCCGAGGTTCCGCCGACGACTCGCACCGTCCCGGACGCACACCGCATGTGCCTCCTCCCTTCGGACAGCACCACCCAACATGACGGGTCCTCCTCCTCATCATCAGCTCTGTTAGATATGCTCGTAGCATAGTAATGTGGTTGAATATGGGACATGGATCTACGGAGATTGCAGTTGGTAGATCGCGGAGGAACAGGGAGTTTCTGCTTGGTTTCTTCGGAGATTCGATGAGTGATCTAAATTGCGTGACGGATACTTGTGGTGACACACTCTTCGGCATCTCGGCCTCGAGTGGTCTCTGCCCTTCCCTCTTCCCTCTAATACAAGACTTTCCCATCTCGGCCCTCACTG